CATTGTCCGAATAAATCTTCGTAGGCCTCCCCCGTCTCGCAATGAAATGTTTCAAACACCTGATGAAACCAGCAGTGGTCTGGTCAGTTAGTAACTCTAAATGGACCGCTCTCGTTAGACTGCATGCGAACAGTAAAATGTATGCCTTGCCTTCTTTCTTCTTCGAAATCTTGTAAGTTATGGGCCCGGCGTAGTCCACCCCTACTACTTGGAACGGAAATGTCCCCTCTGTACGATCCACTGGTAAGTTTCCAGGCGGTGGATTTTGGAGCTTTGTCACATGGAACTTCTTACACCCATAGCAGTGGTTAACCACGTTCTTCGCCAGTTGCCGGAGACGGGGAATCCAATACTCTTGTCTCACATGCGCCATCGTTAGGCCGACTCCCCCGTGTAGCGTCAAGATGTGGGCGTCTTGCACCATTTTTTCTGATAAGACTACCCTGGGTGGCAAATACACCGGATAATGTCCTTGAATTCTTCCTCTGCACACATAGATTCCTTGGTCATTCTTCTGAAGGTTGAGCCTTTCTTGGTCTTCCAGAAACTTGTCTGTTACACTGTGTCTCTGCTGCTCCCGCCTTATCCACCACTTGACCTGTATCTCCGTCTCAGCTGTTGTCAAGGGTCCGCTTACTCGGTTCCACTTCTTGCTCCGGCAATTTTGAAGGAATCTCATGACCCATGCACTGATTCTGATCGTTCGCCAGAAGGTATGCCTTTCCAGCACTTCATCGAAGTCGTCCCTCGCCTCCACTGCCACTGCAAACACCTCCTTAGTAAGCTTAGCTTCTGCTTCCGTTTCTTTGTTAGGCTCTGTCACTACGTCTCCCGGCCACTCCTCTGGCTTGGACAACCATTGTGGTCCCGGCAACCACACATTACACAGCTGATCTGCCTTGCAGCCTCTGCTTCCTATGTCGGCTGGGTTGTGTTTGGAGTCGACATGTCTCCATTCAATGTAATCTTTGTCGTTGATCTTGCGGACTCTGTTGGCCACAAACTGTTTGTAAGTACCTCCCCCCTTGATCCAGTGGAGTGCGACAGTACTGTCACTCCACCCATGGACTGACTTGATTGGATATCCTTCAAGTGCGACTCTCACGTTCTCCACAAGGTTAGCGGCCATGTGAGCGGACACAAGTTCCAATCTTGGAATTGTAAGATTCTTCTTTGCTAATCTTGACTTTGCTGCTATTAAGCCCTTGCTCACCCCGGAGGCTTGCGTAATCACTGCATAGACGGCCGCTGATGTACCAACTCCACTTGTGTCACCGAATACATGCAACTGGACTCCTTCGATCGGCTCCTTGAACCTTGGTATGCTCCGCAGTACTTCAACCTTGTTGGGGAGGCTCCTCACAAACTTCAGCCACTCTTGTCCAATTCTGTCTGACAGTTTCTCATCCCACGGTAGTCGACTGTCGCATACTTCGCGGTATAGAAGCTTTCCCACTAATGTTGTGGGCGACGCTACACCAAGCGGGTCGTACACCGCAGCTAAGAATCGTAGCATTCCTCTCTTAGTGTTATCAACAGGTTCCTCAGGGAAAGTCACTGCAATTGTGTCCTCTCTCTTGTTCCACGGCAAACCTAATATCTTGGATTCACCTTCCTTAACTCCCAACTGTTGCTTTGCGTAACTCTGCTGTTCATCAACAGGCACCCCATTCTCACCGTCTAGCTGAGGCTCGTGCACCGGAACAACATTCTCACTCTCTAGCTGAGGCTCGTTGGAGTTCCACTTGTGCATGGTAAACTTAGCATCCCCAAACACTGATATGATCGTCTTCTTCAGGTCCTGAACCTCTTCTTTGGTGTTGCCCCCCGTGATGACGTCATCAACGTATAGACTCCTCAAGATCTCGTCTACCTCCACTGGGTATTTCTCTCTTAGGCTTTGCAAGTGCAACTTTAGTGTTCCCGCCAACAAGAATGGCGACTGGACCAACCCGAAGAGCGCTCGCGTGAATCTCAAGGCTTCAATAACTGAAGGGTCCTTGTTCTTGAGCCAGTGGAAACGTAGTGCATCCCGGTCTTCAGGTCTTATGCGTACTTGTAAGAAGGCTTGTTTGATGTCAGCTGCTAAGGCTACTGGCTTTAGGCGATTTCGCACAAGAACGTTCCACAACAGATTCTGCAAGGGAGGCCCCGTTTCTAAGCACTCGTTTAACGACGGACTATCTTCACTTGGCTTAGCCGATGCGTCAAATACAATTCTGAGTTTTGTGGTCACGGCAGTTTCCTTTTTCACAGGTTTGTGAGGGATGTAAAATACTCTCTCGTTTGGCTCGTCTACAACTCTCTCAACTATCCCTTCAGTGAGTTGCTCTTGGATGATCTCATCGTACTTGTCTATCAGACCAGGCTCTCTCTGCAACTTCCTCACTAGACCTTGTAGTCTCCTGATACTTCCGCGTTCGTTCGATTGCAGGTGATCGTGACCCGGCTTCCATAGCAAACCCGATTCGTACCAACCTTCGTCACTTCGGTTCAGTTGCTCAGAGAATTCGGCAAACACGTTTTGCTGGTCTGCTTCTGGTCTATCTGCGAGTCCTAAAACATCTAAAGAGCAGAGTTGTTCGTAGTCCGCTGCCGATGTTTTCGTCAAATAAACGTTGGATAGCGCGGCTTCTCTCCCTGTGGACATCATCGTCCACCCCAGCATAGTGAACTCAGCAATGGGCTCAGACGGCTGACCAATTCTAGGTTTCGTCTCAGTTTTGATCCTTGAGTACTCGCTGGCGCCGAGTATTACATGAATGGGTAACTCACTCTTCTTGTCATCGTCATCCATGACCACTCCCTGCAGGTGACGATACTTGCTGATCAGTTCTCCATAATTCGGATTTGGGACTGTGAGTAGAACACCCTTGTCCACCTTATTGATCTTCGTCATCATCTCAAACTTCCCATCAACACTTTTAACCGTTACTGAATACCCTTGTACCTTTTGAACTGTTGAGCAAAGCATCATGTCAATCTGTCTATGTTCGATATGAGTTGGTCGCTTGTTAAGCCGTTCAATCAGAGCCGCTGACGCATAAGAACTACCCGCACCTGTGTCTAGTAATGCTCTGCATTTGATCCCATCGACGAACACCACTACCACCGGATAAATAACAGAACCCTCACCAGTTGCCAACATCATTTGACTGTTGCTAGGCAGCCTGTCACAAATAGACGTGTGATGTCTGCCACCGCAATGTTGACAAGTGTACTTGCTGTGGCACTCCCGTGCTTGATGTCTTGTTCCTGTACAGTTGAAGCATAGTTTCTTGTCACTCAAGATCTGCCTGCGCTGGTGCAAGCCAGGGACTTTCTTGCACTGGGTGGAGCTGTGATCCTCGCCATTACAATAGATGCAGTTACGCCCCACCTTCGCACTCTCATCTTTGGTCTGGTAAGCAGGATTTTTCCTTGCTTGGAAGCGATTTCGCGGGTCACGGTTCGGAGGATAACGACTTCGCAGGTCAGGCTTTGGCGGTTCAGGTTTAAGGTTTTCGCTGACAATAGGGTTACGGTCACACCACTTCCTCAGGGATTCGATTAGCTCTGCAAATCCCCACTCTTGCCAGTTATCGTCTAGACGTACCAGATCCGCTCTGATTCCAGGTAATTTATCAAGCGTCGCACGCACAAACCCTCCTATTTCGTTAACCTTGCCCATGGTCTCTAGCACTTGTATGTGACTTGTTAGCTTCTCGTAGAAATCATGGATTTTTGCTGGGTGTCCACCATGAACTGTGGATAATCCAATTATGCATTGCATATGTGCGTTTGCTACCTCACTGGGTTTACCATACTTGGTTTTCAATATAGCTTTGGCCCTTTCGTAACCCTCCGTCGTGAAAGGGAGTCCGTCAATGGACGCGCGGACACTGGGTACTAGTAACTCCTTCAGGTAAGAAAACTTAGCAACTTGAGTTAGTTTAGCCTTGTCGATTTCAGTTTCGAATTGATTCCAAAACCTCATCCAATCCAGGAAAGTCCCTTGAAATTTAGTTATCTCCAGTTTTGGCAATTTCGCTCCGACACTGCTCAAATTCCCAGATTCCTCCGTGGATGCCTTCGCCGTTTTCTCAAGACTCGCTCGCGCTTCGTGTTTAGCCTTTTCAAGCTGGATCTTTTCCTCCAAATTCCGTTTCCGTTTCTCTTCCTCGCGTTTTTCCTCTTCGATTGATCTAATACCGGCAGCTACATATTCCACTTCTTTAAGAATTCCCTCAAATTTACTGATTTGGCTTTCTAAAGTTTCGGTCCAAAGTCTGACCTCTACAGGGTCATTCCCACTTTCAATACGCAACTCCTGAACTTCCAATTTGAGCTGATGTGTTTTGTCAATAACGTGCTCCAATGCGCTTCCATGCCTCTCAATTGTCTTCAGGTCTCCGGTCTCGATTACTTTCGCTGTATCTCCCGCTGTAAATTCAAGCATTTTCAGTTTACCTTGAATCTTCTCCTGCATTGTTTTGATTTCGCCTTCGGCGCTCATGTTGTTGACTTCGGTGTTTCTTCGCTGTGTTTACATGTAAAATTCCTCTCGTCGCTCACTTCTCGCCGCTCGCTGTTACTTTCTCGAATCACAGGTGTCCTGGCAGGGTCGCCACCTTTTGTTGCGATGATTTCAACAAAATTTATTCGTTTCTCGTTTGATAAACTCGCTCGTACTCACAAGATCGCTCGCTCTTTTTCTCCTCGTGTTCTAGTGCCAAAACCGGTCCTGACCGGTTCGGCTTACGTCACACACGCACCACAGGAACCCCATTTCGGGTCCGACAAATGTGTCAATTCATTTCAGGCTGACCAAGTTAAAAGGCTTTATAAAGTAGATGCATAAACAGAACGTTACTATGTTGGGATCGCGAAAATTACATTTTCCCAAAGGTGACTAAGATGGGGTCTACTAGTTGGCTATAATGGGGTAGGGGTTCTGAGGGGCCAGCAGCTCATACCCAGCTAAAAGCTAAGAAATGACCTGTTGACCCTTGAAGTCCCATTTCTTAATGTATTTTTTTATCAGGAGATAAACTAGAAAGGGATCACCTCTTTTATCTCCTTTTCACTTTTTCGATTTGGATTTGTGAATAAACAGTTATTATTATTATTATTATTATTATTATTATTATTATTATTATTATTATTATTATTATTATTATTATTATTATTATTATTAATATACTATGCGAATTTTCCGTTCTTGTCTCATACTTTTGCTATAAGATTAGTGGTTAGGATTTCTTACAGTATCGTTTGGGAATTAATCCTGTGTGATTATATCTTTGTTTCTCTTGGCCTCCCCGACTGATTAAGCATTAATGTGGTGGGGAGAAATTTAAAAAAACTTACTATTGAAGATTTAAGTGTTAAAGGGAAAAATGCATTCACAGCTGCCTGCTCGTAATAGTCTGAGATATGTGGCACTCAAAAAAGAAAATAGAAGGCAAAATGCTGTGTACTGTTTTTAAGAATGTATTTAAGCACTCTTTGAATTGTTATAATTATTTTTCAATCCTAAAGCTTCGAGAAGTAATACCATGGCTTTAATTCCCTCACAGTGTTAATCGCCGGAAAAAGTTTGCTTGTCAATTTTTCTTCCCAGACCTGTCTCTTTTCTGTACATGTCTGGTCCGCAGTTAATTAAACCTTCAGGCAATATTTTCCTTTTACCTGCTACCTACCCGTATTTACCGGTGATACGGCTTTTTCACAACATGTGCGCGTGCGTTGTTGACCGAACCTGGGGCCTTATCGCAGGTTGATATTACCGTCGCTTACATTGCCTCTCAAATGAAATATTATACTTAATTTTAGCCCAAAGGAAAACTGAAAATCTCCCGTCTTATATTTCTTGATTAATGTTTCTATATTTGTTTAAAACCTTCTTCTGAGTAGATTAGATCAAAATCGACGAGTTCCAAGAGTAATTGTTTCGAAAATGAAAAAATTGGAATTGCGCTTCACGGTATTTCTGCTTTTAGCGGTAAGTCAGTAATATTATTTAAGTTTTACTACTTGAAAACTATGTTTTTAATTTTTCTCTCTTTGTATACAGTTATACCATTCGATTCCGATTTAAATACAGCCGAGTTGCACTAACGTAGAATTAACTTTAATGGCAGCTAGCTGCTCAGTTAAAAGCACTGTCCTAATAAACACTGACAAGATACGCGAAAAATGTGAACCAAACTTTTAATGAAAACAAACATTTCTTAAGTGTGGCGATTTGGCTGAGAGAGTAACTTTCTAGCCAATATTTTAGGTTTTTACAAGGTAAACTGAATTTTGCAACATTTATTAATTTTTATTTTAGGCAGAAAAGGGCATTCGATGTGGTCAATACTGATCCACGTAGAATCAGGCTATCTAATTTCAAATACTTTTCTTTAGAGAAACTCTTTTGCGGCCAAAAAACAAAATAACTTTGATAGCGGCTAGGCTGGTCACAGCGGCTTTTAGTTGTCAACACATAGAAGCGCCTTTGGCTCTCACCTTTGCCACAGGACCAAAAGAGGCCATAGATGGGGTTGTTACCCAAGCCTTTGAAATACCGTCCACGGTACTAAGGGTTTTTCGAGCTTCGCCAAAAGCGATACAGCTTTCACTCCGCAACAGAAATAAAAAGCTAGGCAAATTTGCTGTCAAGTATGTTTTTAACTTGGCGACGGAGGTTTGTATAACGCGCATCACATCTTTAACAAGCACAGCATTAGACTATCAATGTTAAGTGTCTTTGAGTACCTTTGCTGTGTTTTGGTTTGATGCGAGCTGAAGTTTAATGCCGTGAACAGATCATGCATGGTAATTAAACATTACATTTTAACCTTCAGGTTGCATTCGCTTACTCCGGTTTGAATGTAAAAGGTGAGTCCATCTGCATATTTGTATTACAGCAGTCTGCATTTGGTTTTGTTTTAAAAGTTGAACCAAAGTCCGTTCAAACTCAGAGTAGCCAATGGGAACGCAAGGAAAATGCATTTAGCCGACCCCAAAAAGGGGGAAGCGAGTGCCTGCAGTCACTATGGAACCGTGAGTTACTCACTGATCTGATTGGTCAAGAGACTTGACGTAAGATTGTTTGACCAATCACACGTTGAAGCAACCCCGAACTTTATGTAAGTGGTTTAAAAGCACTTAAAGACCGTGGTAGCAAGATCATACGATCTCATACAGCACTTGTGAAATCCTTAAGTTTGGTAACACATGACACAAACTCAAAGAGACCGATTCTAGTTTCATTTGTAGCCAAACGACGAATTTGAAATTGAACATTCCACAGGAAGCCCAAGGAATAACGATTAATTTAGTTGTCAAAAGGTTTATTTTACACTGAATCATATGATGACATTGATGACAATGAATGGTGGATACACTGACTACTGACGTCATTACTTTGCAGCTGATTCTAACACCCCAGGGAACTCGGGGGAGAACACCTTTGATGATAACCTTGCGGACTATCCGCACGTCATAGACGATCATATCCCTGGGATAAACGATGGTGGTAATGACGATGACAATGATGATGGTGATATTGGTGATGAAGGATTCTATGATGATGACAATGATGATGACGACGATGGAAGTGAAAGCTTGCGACAGGGTCTTGGCAGAGGTTCTAATTCGTCGGTTGTTCATAAACAAGACGAGGTTCGCTCGTCGGGTGTCAAAAACACAAGCCCACAGCAGCAACAGTCAGCAGATGATAGCGAGATAAATGAGTCTGGCTTGTCTGATGATATTGATGATAAAAGTGGCGGAAGCGGAAGTGGAAACGACGAGGGCAAAGGTCACGGGGTATTTGCAAGGTAAATTAAGTATCTTCTGCATGTTTGTATGAATTAAGGCAAAGGACCATGCGGAGATCCCTGATATAGGCGTGGGATTATCAAATCCATAATAAGAGCCAAAAATTTTTAGATCGCCCTACGAGCAACCACTCACATCCCTTCGTTATTCTGTCAAAGAACCTCAGCTGTTCAGTCCTTTCATATAGCAGGAGCCCGTAACCCGGAGCGAGCAACTTCCATGCGCACGTGTCATGGCGTTTTCAAGGACCAGTTTATTTTTTAGAACAGTTTGGGCGCCAATTTTGAATATCTTTTAAATTCCACAAACCAGTCAGCAAAACTTACAGACCTAAAAGTGATATTTTGTGCCTTTTAATAACGTTTAGTTTTCCGTTTTGATATCTTATACTGCGAATGCGCTCATAGATATGGTGGAGATTCTATTTTCGCGGGAAAGCTGCCCTGAAATGTGTCTAAAAATAAACTGGTCCGCAAAAATGCCGTTACATAGGCTTAGTATGGTAGTTGCTCGCTCCAGGTTATAAGCTCCTGCACTCAGGCAGTCACTCATCCATCCTAGAATCCATCCGTCTATACGACCATTCATTTTTCAGGGTCTTTGCATCAAGTGTCTCTCCTATCTTTTGTTCTCTCTTAGTTTTTATGAAGGCAAACTTTCCTCCTTTAGTTCAACTTTAACTTTTGTACACCTATCACTTACAACATTATTTACAACCGAATAAAGGAATGACTATAAGGCTTACAAAAGAAATTAGGTTTGCTTAATCAAAAGAAACCATAAAGGCTTTCATTTCAAGCTTTAATCTATTTTCAATAGCCAGCACGTTTCAGAGGAGGAAGGCAGCAGTGATGAAGAAGCTTCATCGAAATCAGATGAAACAGAAAATAGCGGCAACGAAGAACACGAATGGAATAATGATCATGCTGCTGTAAGGTACAACTTGTTGCGCAAGCGGCCAAGGAACATGATAAAAAAAGTAATTGAAGACTCCAAAAACAGTGAAAAAGAAGGAAACAATTCTTCAGGGGATCAAGATACGAATGAGGAAAATGCGGAGCAAAATTCTGGTTTCTTAACGAGTTATGCTCCAGAAAATGATACAGTAGGAGTAGGGGTAGGAGACGAGCACCCTATTTTGAAGCCACACCCTAAAAATGTGAGCGTTTCTTACAATCATACCATTATCAAGGAGAAAGAAAAAGAGAAAGTGATATTACCGAAGCAAAGTGATGGAGGGTTTACAGGGAATAAAACTGATGTCATTGATAGACAAGATGAGAACAAGAAGAGTAACAATTCAGTAAAATCAACGCAACTCAAGGATACATTGTCACATGATGTACACAAAGACGAAAAGGAAAGCAAAGTAGAGAAGCCATTAAAAGCTGAGCATAAAGGAAGTGTTCAAAATACCCAACCTCATCACAGACCTGTGAAGAAAGAGCCCATTAGGACTGATAAGGTCTCACCACACCTTGCCAGAAAGAAACTACATAACAAGTACTTGGCATCCCATGTAACCCATCCACATATGTCGGAAAGTCATAGGAAAGTCACGCACACCAAGACTATCAGAAAAGGTATGGCGTATACATGTCACGCAGTTACGTTACTTTGGAAACTTTTTTTGTAGAATTAGTACATTGAAAGTTTCTGTAACCGATCCATCAAAGCTGAAAACTACAATCTCAATCCCAGGACTTTTTCCCTTAGAAAATCAGGGAGGGGCGGGCGCTCCTCTTCTGATGGAAAAAGCCCTGGGAACAAGGTTTCTAAAACTGAGGCTCAACTGTTTCTTCTTTAACATAAAAATACCATTTCAGCTGCCCCATCCACGTGCCAATCAGACAAGATCTTGGCAGGGCACTCGTTAAAAGGAGGAACTCGGGCCGGTCGTTTTGAAGTTTTGGGCGACACTGCGAGCATGCACGCGTGTCTTCAGCGGTGCTGCTCTAAAAAGACATGTGACGTCGCACTTTTGATTGACGGGCGATGCTATGGAGTGGACTGCTACAGTGACGATCTCTGTAAAGCGATTCCAGTACCTCATCCGCACTTTATATTCTCGCAACTTGGGTTCATAAATAAAGGACAAAAGAGAGGAGACATCGAGAGGAAACAAGGTGAAAAAAAATGCAACTTCATAACTGAGTATTTACCTCTTTGAGGTGTGGGGCGGGGGGCACTCAAGGGTAGTTTGGAGAAGAGGTGTGTCGTCTAGGCCTTCAAACCCTGACTGGCCTGTTAAGACAAAAATCTTTCATTTCCCTACCCGGTTAAAAAAAGCCACCTTATTTCATGACCTGATTCACTTCGTTTCGCATACAGAATTAAGTTATAAGGTAATGATATTTTCCTGGGAAAATTCCCTAGTACCAGAAATGTTGACCTTTTAAATCATACCTTCACTCTTTGAAAAGGCTTCCGTTCCAAAAAGACACTTTGCATGTTTAAGATCCTAAATAGTGAAACTGTAAACCGTGTTTAAGACTTAAGACCCCGAAAACCACACTCTGTTCAGCGGCACATACCCGAAAGTCAGCGCCCCCCGCCCGGAGGGGGATGGCGATTAACCCTTGAAATTACAGTTGACGAAGGGTTCGTTTCGGTACTTTAATATTGCTTTTTTAGAGTTTCACTGTCAGTATGGAAACCTCACTCTGCGAAATAATGAAGAATGGAGTGGTGAACTGTGCGGCGGAGTGGTTAGATGTAAAAATGGCATCGTCACCGTTAAAAAATGCACAGGAATCCCACCCAAACCAGACGACTGCACCAAGCCACGTCTGGTTGTGAAACATCAGAAAGGAAAATGCTGCCAGATGAAATGGAAGTGTAAAGGTAACCTGTGTAAAATTCTGGGCTAATGGTCTTTACACGGGTTTAATTTAAACCCTTTAACGACGGCTTTGGTCGTTTTCGTTCCATATGGAACGATACATGTTTTCCTTTTTGGACCCATTTAGCGTTCAGTTTAAGCTAATAAGTTGGTAAGTAACAACGTCAGCAAAGATTGATCTCTCCACTGATACCTCGTTTTGGATATTTTGACCAATCCTAACAGAATTACACTCGCAAAAAAAGTAACGTTTTGGGGATAAATCCATTCGCCACTTGCACTTCTCACAAAATGCACCTTATTTATTGAGCGAGTGAGCGTTTTCACTCACGTGGCCAGTATCTATGCTAATTTATTAGAACAAAAGAAAGCATTTACATCACAAAAGAGTTTAAATCCCAGAGGATTTTCTGGGTACACCAACATGGCCGCCGTTTCACTGTTTTGGAACACCAATATGAGCGCCGTGACGTCATGTGAAAACGCTCTATTGTATTGACCCCCAACATGGCCGCCTGGCCACGTGGTTGCAAACCAAGAATTAGTAAATCCTTGTTAATCATTTCGTATTTTGCTTAATATAGCAAGGCACTGTATCTTTAACAATCGTCTGATCAAGCATGGATACACACTCAGTGATCCTCTTTGTACCGGAATTGTCAGTTGTTATAATGGACATTTAAACATGGAACACTGTCCCAAGATACCTGACAAGCCTAAGGACTGTGCACGACCAAAGCTCAAGACCATCAATATTCCTGGAAAATGCTGTAAAAAACTTTGGGTTTGTTCAGGTAACTGAAATTAGTAAGGCTTTAGTTATTGCTTCAATTAATTGACCCTATCAAGAAAGAAAAATATGTTTTTTAATAATAGAGAGCTTAAACTACCACGAAAGCGACGGTGGCGAAAACTTCACTTAAAAAGTGAATTCGCGCTGTTTTAAACTTCAAAGCCCACACTCATTTCGTCCAATTTGTCACATGTTTTGGGATTTTTTCGGCGTCGAATTCTAGAGAAATTTGTAAAAGTTCTGAGAGAAATAAAAAGAGTATGGTTATTTTGTGTTCACGTCCTACATTTTTAGCTCACGCCGTAGTGCAACGAAGGTAAAGAAATGTACAAAGAGTGCGAGGCACGTTTTGCCATTGTTTTTTTTTAAAGTTCTTGTTGCCGCCGCCTTCGTCGTTGCTTTTAAGCAAACTTTTAGGATTTTCCTAAAACTAGACCAAGAGCCGGCTCCTGACTATGTGATTTCGTACAGTAAATTTTGCCGAAAAGTCAATTTCTTTACAAGAACTTGGGTCAAGCACCGCGACCAAGGCTACGAGGTCGCGCCCCGCCGCGTTGCTCAGTCTCCTGTCACGTGACCAGCGTAGCCATGTGACCTTGCAGTCGCTATCTTGAAAACGACAACGTTTCTAGCAAAAGGACAAGTTGTTTCTTTTTTCCTCTTTTTTTTGTCGAAGGTCTTTCGAAAAAAATACTGGCGGTAGAAGGCATTACTCAGATGAAATTATTTTCCATCAATTTCATATGATACTCTAAAAGAATTGTAAATGCAAAGGTGCTTTATGTGATACGTGTTTGTGAATTCAAGAAATCGAATTTGAAAGAAAGAAAATCGGAATCAACAGTTCTCACTGGGTTTTAGTATCGAATGTACCCGGAGGATCCCCACCACCTCCCCCTGAGCAAGGAAGGGAATCAACAAAAAAACTCAGCCCGCATAAGACTTGAACCAAGGCCAAATAATGTGAAGCAAGTGAAGTCAGCACTGTTCCCCGCCCAATATGAAAATATTTCACGTAAAAATTCCGGACTAATTAAGCTTTCTGGGAAACTTTCAACCTATCCTTCCCCTATGCAAACATTAACACTTACTTATTATTTGGGCAAAATATTGGGTTAAGGAAGGGGAAGGTGGGCCGCTTCCCAGAAAGCTAACCCCCAGCATCTCTTTTTCAGACAAAAGCTGCACATATGACAGTCTCAAGCTGTCGCATGGTGAGAAACTCACAGACGCGTCATGCGCAATTGTTATGGAATGTAGAAATGGCTTCCTGCGTAATAAGCAGTGCCCAGGTCCCCCTCCCGTCCCTCGTACCTGCATCAACCCAACATTGAAGGTCAAGCGAATCCCAGGAGAGTGCTGTGAAATGAATTGGAAGTGTGAAATAAGCTAAGAATGTACTTTTGCATTAAAAGGTTAGTACGAGAATAGTAACTACTTCGGGACCCCCTCGCGTGAAAAAGTTGAAATTCCAGCTAGGGTGAATTTCACGTGTACTTTTCAGATCTCCTTAAGGAAGGGGAGAGTATACTAAACCTCACTCGAGGGAACACATTATATGCGACGACAATGGATCAAATATATAATCAACTAAATTTTTCCATCGTGCAGCCCAATATTCATCATTGAGAGATCAGCTATAGCATTTCCTGTTCGCCACTCTATGAACTATAGGAAGAATGGATACAGGATCTGGCTCGTTTGGGGGAATGCTATCGTCAAATCAAAACTATCGCCTGTCCGCCACCAAAATGATCTCAGAAATCCTTACACTCAAGGTTGCACCCGTTGTTTTAAAGTTTACGTAGTAGGTAAATATATATAAAAGATATATAAAAGAGAAAGTTTAGCCAAAGCAAGTTTCAGTGATTTGGCCAGCCACTCAACGTTTTGTAACTTTTTTTTGACTCTATCATCAGTCTACTGATTGAAACTTAAATGCGTAAATAAAATGGATATGACACATAAATTTCTACCCTACTGAAATAAATTAAAGAATATTTATTTTGATAATATAGCTCTAGTTGTAAACAAATTTTTTTAGAATACTTTTATTATGAACTTAATTGAAGCTAACGGAATGATATTCAGTAAAACCTTAGTCACCTACACGACGTAAACGATAACTGTGTACTAAATGCATTATCTTGCTTAACGCTTTCTGAGTAATAGCACCATTCGAATAGTGAAAATCAAACATACTGCCAATAATTAAGAAATAAACTTTATTTTGTTATTTAGTACTGCAAACAAATAGTACCTGGCGAATCTGCTGCTAAAGAAGGTTCGGATTAAATAATTAAATTATCAAACTATGAGGTTTTGTGCAGAGATACAAGAAGACTTACCTTTAGTCTAAGGATATGAACAATAAAACACGCACGTCTTAAGAAATAAATGAATCCACATTTCAGTCGTTATAAATATAACAAACTACGAAGCAATTATCAGCCTCAGAATTTATTGACAATATCAAATTTCTACAGCTACCTTTTTTTTCATGCCTTCTACAGTTCGGACACCCAAAGAGTCGCTTCGTCTAATGTATATGTCATGCCACACATATATCGCGGCATCAAAATGACGTCATAATTGACGTCAAATGGGCACTACATATTATTGGAAGAAATTTTGAAGAGGCATGAAGCAAGGCTGTCTAACATAAACTACTTCTGTAGACAATACTGGAAATATAGCCTGTGTTGAAGCCAGCTTGTCGCTCAAGACGTACAAAGATAGAGAACTCGAAATAGTTGAACTATTTCGAGTTCTTATATCGGGGATTTAGACTGTTTGACACGCAGGCTTGGAAAATGATGCTCGAGTTTCGTTTTAAGGAAAATAAGAACGTTTTTTCCCAAACATTTTAAACGAATGAGATATTCAACAAATGACAAACTCTTTTTAAAGACCTGGTAAGTCTAGTAAAACTCTCAAAAGAACCATGAAATTGTTCCTGTAAAGTATTAGGCGAAGTCGGCTCATTGGGTGTCTCAAATTATTTACTCAATTTACTAATATTGTAAGCCAATAATTACGTCCAAATATTATTTACATGCTATACTTAACCGAGGGTCTAGACCCGGGGGATTTCCCGTAAATAGTGACGGGGCGATCGTCAGAAGTTCACGGGTAAAGGGCATTGATTCCCGGGTCAAGACCCTGTTAAAAGCCTTAAAATATGTTAGAATTTCTAACGTCTAAATTTAGCAAAAAGCTATCCTGGAGGCATTTTTCATCGAAATAATATGTATAAATTTTTCTTCTGAATAAATGTTTGTTATTCTTGTTTAATGACCCTCCCTTTGCATATATGAGATCTACGCAATAAAAATGGTTTACTGGACGTGGATGGTCCATGTTGACCCTCAGAAGCGCAAAAAAGCTTGCACGCGCTTGCGTGGTCATATTCCGATTGTGTCTGAATTCTCATCGTGACGCGCAAAAGCATTCTGGGTAAGCATGGGCCTGCTTTCTAAATCTGTAAATGCGTGTAACGGCAAACTAAAAATACTTCTAAAGAACATATAAACTGTGGTTTATGTTGAAACAGAAGCTAACGGAACACGATACTTTCATGCGTAACATATAACAGCACTAGAGGAAGTTTTCGCTGTTTTCGCACCCTTCTTTCAGAAGGCATTAAAACAGACTATTTTAAGCAAGTTCGACACTTTAAAACCGAGAAGGAAACTGGGCCGAGTAAACTTTCGCAAAGAATTCTGGGACTGTTACTGGGGGTTGGAAAAAAATGGCCAATAGCTGACCGGCGCGTGCCCTGTAACTATCCTAGAAATCTTTGCGAAATCTAACTCGGCTCAGTTTGCTTCTGGTTTCTAAAGTGGCGAATTTACAGGTCAGATAAACAGCATCTCTAATAAAAGCAATGAGTTTTATCTTGACTGTTATCGCTAGACATCTTAACTACAAGATTTGTAACCTGTGTTTGCGTATCTGAAATGTATTGAATATACCGTCTTAGAAAGGAGAAATCTGACCTTCCCAAATTTCATGAGTTTCTCAAAAACGAAAGTGTAAGCAAAAAAGTAATTCCACACTTCTGACACCAACACGTAAATAAAATAATGAAATTTATATACATCGTAGCAAAAATAAATTTTATGCAGATATTGTGTTCGTGTGAATAACTTAATAAAATAACTCTTAGCGATATTTTAGGACAAGGCTCGAAGGAGAGAAATTGTGGCCGATTGAGAATTGTTAAAAAAAATTGTTTTTCTCTTAATAATTTATATGAAGTCACCCTCTTTACTTGGTATTTGAGAAACTCAAAGTCTCGTGTCAAGTCTCCCCGAATGGCATTTTTGTTCCAATTTTTTTCCATCCCAGTTTACAAGGGAACATCCCTAGTAATGAGCTTGCCCGAGACAGGGCCTTTGTTAATAATCGGCTCCTGCTGCAGGGGCCTGTTTGTCGCAAGGCCAAGTAACGTTTTGGGCCAGAAGGAAATTTTTAAAATCAAAACCTCCTGAATAGTAGCACAGTTCTTAGCTCCCAAACCTTCGTTAATTGATAGATTCATTGCATTATTTTCAAATTATTGAAACTTTGATCTTGAATGCAAAGACAACAAACAAAACAAAGCATTTCGGGCCCGAACAGTCACAGGGACTTTCAAAAAACGCGCCCCTGGCCTTAGAAAGGGCCTAGTTCGCAGGCTCTTTATGTCGATGGTCGGATGGTCTCTTTAATCTCATGGTTACAAGACGGCCTCACATCCTTCGAGCCTTGTTCCTTATTTGTGGTCATTTCGCTTCTCAAAGCCCCTTTTAGACAATAAAAACAAAACAAAACAAAACAAAACGTGAAATACGTTCTTTTTTCACTTGACAAAAGTACCGAGGGCTCGAGGAACGAGAACGAACCGTGGCGGCAAAGCGGCTGTGTACTGTTTTGCGCTTGCGCAAAAGCGTTAAAATAGAAACCGTCACTTATCGCAACTACTTTATCAATAAATTATGCGTTTACCTTAAAGATAATATCATTTTCAAATACGCCTGTGCTTGTACTATATCTAAATGCGTTCTCAGTGTAACCATTTTACTCCTGGGCCGAGTTGTTCAAAGCTGGGTTGGCTTGGGTTAACATAACCCAGGGTTGCGAAATTTGAATTCAGATTTGAAGGCTTAAAAAGTAAATTCAATTTAATTCTTTTTGTCAACAAGTTGATGATTGGATGCTCTTAAAAATGATAGAGAAAATTATCCGGGAAAATGCTTTTGAACAAAAGAAAAAGAAACCCGGGTTAAAATTAACCCTGGGATAAGTGCTAATCGCCCTTCCAACAACTGGGCCCTGGACGAAAACTCGAGTCTTTACAGTTGAAACTGTATTATCTCCATGGAGAAGGATGTTATTTTCTATACTTGCACTTCGTGTGGTGTAAAATAGCTCTACTTTGCCTAAAACACACTAAACCTTATCCTCTATTCTAAGAAACACATCGCGTTCGATAGGTTTTAGCATTACAACGATACCAGAACGTTGACTAACCAGTTAAAAATGGTGTCGTTCAAAAATGCTCTTGAACCTATTTTCTTTGAAAACGATAATACGATTTGAATCAGTTGTCGATGACCCAGTATTAACTATGTAAAAGAATCGGATTCCAAACGAATACCTTTTTACAGACGTAGGTGAAACGGATACATCAACGTGAGTCTGAAAGCAAATCTGATTCCCCGGTCATGGAATTTACCAGCGCTGATTGGACCTAGGATATTCTTTTGAGTCGCGGTTTATTTACAATGAACTTCTTGGTATGTTTTTCCGATGAGGTCATGTCAGCGATAAAATAATGAAATCTGACATTTGTGTAAATCTGCCATCTTCCAAAAAATATATACATTCCACGTTGTCGTAAGAAAAATACTGCGATTGGCTTGTTTAAAAGGTTTGGGAGACTCACTAAATTGACCTTTTTCCCTTCTAATCAAGCGAGAGAAACGTTACCCGTTAAATTAATTATTATTGTCAAAGTGATTTTACGGCTGACTTGCTAACAAGTCAACAAAAGTCACTTCAAACAACCACCTCAAGTGAAAGCTCTTCTATTCTCCAAGGTAATGATGTTATGGAATTCTAAATCTCGAGTGCGTGGATGAAATCATTACGAGAGATCTTTCAAATCAAAGCTTCGTTTTGGTATTATCTTTTGATCTTCGTTTTATATTTTTGATGAATTTAATATTGTTTGGGAGCGAGGTGTTATAATCAATAAAGTTACCTGTTAGCTACATCTGGGACTGATGCGCTAGCATAATCTGGCAACCTTCGTTAACATGATCCATAACTCGTTGTTTCAAATCACAGACTTGCTGCTTTAGAGCATTGGCAACTGCATTTAATTCAATATTCCTCTCCTTAAGTTCTTTGACCCTCGTTTCCAGTCTTGCTTCGCGTTCTAGTTTTCTTTTACGGCACTTCGACGAAGCAATTCTGTTCCTCTGTTTTTTTCTCTCTCGTTTTACGATCTCTTGAACTTCCAGATCAATCGGCTGAAGAGAACCGTGATCGGAGATCATTTGCGCTTGATTTTCCAATTTATAACCGGATAATTCTCCCTTTTCTTGCGCCAGCGCGCTGTTATATGATGCAAAAGCCCGAAGTGTGGCTGAGTTTTCCATGTTGAAATCGTGATAAGCTGAATATGGTACATTTTCCGATGGATAAGAATAGAGAGTCGTGAAATTTGCCGTTCCCGAGCTCGTATAAGGATAAATAGTTCCTCCTTTCATTGGAGGAAATGAAGAGCCATTCCCTGGGAAAAAATCGCTCGCGTCAACGCGTGAAGAAGATGATGTGAATGTAACTTCTTCGGCGGAAGTTCGTATAGAAGACACGGGTACCGTTGCCAGAAAAGCAGAAGCATTTCCCCCTGTGTTATGCCCTAAAAATGGGTCTGTCGACTCTGCAGCGCTGTCTGCCAAATCTATTAACGAAGAAGATTCTCTGGTGATTTGCCTATCGTGAAGGTCTTGTAATGCATCAGTGAATCCACGTGAATACGGTTCGTGATCGTGTTCCGTGTGAACCGGTGCGTGAATATTCGCGTTGAATAGTGAGCTGGCGTTCGGGCCAGCCGTTACATTACTCTGCAGAGACATGATCATTTTTTCCAGTTCGGGTGAGCCGAGCTTAAGCAAACCCAGATCTGGGGACCGAAGCTCCGATGGAGTTGCGTGTTTTTTCAATTCTCCCATCTTTGGATCCTCTGATAAGGTTTGTAAATTCAAGTGCAGCGAGGACTTGTCAAAAAGGTACGGAGAAATAACATGCGATGGTATCCCCTCGTCCTGGTAAAATGGGGTATCGCTTGTTTCTTCCATCTAAACTACTCTACGGATACCTCGTTTTGACCTTGCTCCCTTCACATTGCGAGTCCTTTTTCTTCGCTCCTAAAGAAACTAACACGGGTGGTTGCGGTTTGTTTGCCTTGTTCCGCCCTCGTCTAGCCAGGGGTACGTTTCCGCGGGAGGTGGTTTACCGTTCCTAATCAGTGAGTAATGCCATGCCATATGCTTGATGTCATTTCCAAGCTTCAATCTGGTTTCTTCCGCAATTGTCATGGCGACAGCCATCTTGCAGTTGATTGGTCCTTCCAAACGCTTTGTGTCAAGTTCAATAACAGCACCTGGTATTTTCGAATGACATCATATGACATAACTCAACCGCGGGAAAATAACGGGTGGCAAACTATTGGTTTCTTAGCTTGTAAAAATGGCGCGAAACTTAAGGACAATGCCACCACTCTTCGGAATTAATTCGCCCGTGTCACGGGTCAATGATCTCTCAATAGGTCTTGGAAAAAAATCATGTATCAGAATTTAAACATGATTAAATTCGTAAATTTTTCACGTCTTATATGACTCTTGACATCTTGTCGAAATGCAAGTGAAACGCATCGCGTCTATCAAGTAATCTCGTTTTCAATCGCCATTAATTTTTTTGCCATCTGAATTTTTAAGGAGGCTCGTTGTTAGATTTATGTTTGACAAAAAACGACGTTAAAACGAATTTCACACTTTTCTCACGCACTTTCTTTTCGTGTTTATAGAATCACGGAAAGAGGATAAACAAGAATATGATGTCTCAACAAAATTGAACAAGATTGCTGTTGATCTCTGGGCAAAATTGACAGAAAATTCTCACTATTCTACAAAATCTCTTTGAATTAACACAGGACAGGAACTGCATTCGTTATAAAGTTCAGGTAATTTTGAAAACTACAGAAGGCTGCGCGATTTGCAAAGGTAAGTCTTAACATCTTAAAAGAATGTACAGTTTGACGGGAGACTATAATGGCTTTTATTCATATGAACGGCCAAAAACCCCATTGAATTGATGAAAACGTTCCGTAATAAACAGCGGCGGATTCAGACCTTCAGATAAGGGGTGGGAGGGGGGGGAGGGGGGGCGGTCATCCAGACCCTTGAGATAAGTGGGGGCCCCGATCTCAAAATAAAAAAAACCTTTTTCGGTTTTGTCTGAAAATAAGGGGCGGGGGGCGGGGGAGAGCCAGGCCCCTCCCTGGATCCGCCACTGATAAAGTAACTTCATAAACAGAGTTTCTTTTCACGATCCTCAAAAAAGATTCTTGAATCAAGACTTCAAAGTCTGTTTCTCGTACATTGGTTGCAAAACATTCCTTTTTGATATCTAATGAAATGCCCTTAGCAAAGTAATGCTTTTTTCAAGCCATTTGTTTGTTAATAATAAAAATGACATAAAACAGACTATCGAGGAAAAAACGTATTGAATAACGTTATCAGGTGGTTGTCACGAGAATAAGGCCAACCTTAACCTCTTTCCGAGATCCTTTCTCTTCTCTCTGGGTTTTGAAAGCGAAGCGAAGAGAAATGTCCTGGGAACGAGGTTGTAGAAACTGGAATTTGGACCTTCTTTGCACTCACTTTCCTCTAAGGCGGAAAGCTATTAGGATCGCTACTCAGTGCTCGTCTTGGAAAGGTGTCCTCATGAAAGGAAGTCAGCGATAATAAATGCTACAATATATCAGTTCCGTGAAATCCCGTTGGCTAAGCTTACAAGACTTTTTAGTCAGTCGAGTCGAAGTTCGGTAGGACGGGAGAGAGCGACAATAGCTCGGCTTGCCATTCTGTTTTTACATGTAGTTCAACTTGGGTGAGTCTCGACCTCTTTGTGACCCCTGAGAGATAAAATAAAAAAGACGGCCGAATAACAGCTACAGCGATTTTTAATTTCGACTTTTTTAAAATCGAATTCTTACCTTTTGTCCTTATCACGGACCTTCGTTATTTCTGCTCGCATTGGCCAAACCGAGGCCTGTAAAGCCGAAATATTGGCCTTTTCCTGCAACACCCTTATTGATTTTAAAATCGGCAATTTAACCTAAGTGATACGAGAAGCATCTCCACCTCTTCCATACCCCACTTATCCACATATCCCCCCCACTTTCTCCCTGCAGTCTTAAACAGTCTTCTTTTACGGCCGTCCACGCGAAATCTCTCAGTCGAGAGTCAGTTGGAAGTACAGGATGTCACACTGTTGTTTAAGATTATCAATGGGCTTGCGCCTGTTTACTTAGCCAGAAAGATCGGCAAAAGGTCGGATGCACATAGTTACAGCACAAGGCATAAAGATCAGTTACAATCTCCCTTGTGTAGAACCGCTACCGCTCAGCGTTCCTTTTTTATCGTTCAATAAATATTTGGAACTCTCTTTGCTTAAACTCTAGAGACAGCGAGTCACTCGGTAATTTTAAAAAGTAAGGCGTGAACTATTTAGCATATAAATTGTAACAAATGGTTTTAGCTTAGTTTTTTTAATGATGCTTGTAAGTTAAGGTAATTATTATTCCTTTGTAATTATCGCAGAATAGCCCCTTCGGGAGTGTTTTTTTTATGATTCTTTTAACTTAAGGTAATTACTATTCGCTACTGAACTGATTAAAACTTGTTTACACTCACTTCCAATGTGAGCCAAAGAAAAAATACACACAAAGCAAAATATCTTTTTTGTAAAATTCCCAAGAATTAATTAACTAGTTCTACTTAAGAGTAGACAAGAGTGCATAAAAATCTGAATCACTACATAAAAACGAACATTATTTTCTTCAAATTATGGAAAGACTGGACTCTTTGGATTCGCTTTGCTTACTGTTTTTTGTTTAAAATCATGATTTTGGCATCTGGAATTCGCTATCTTATGTCCTACATATTATATTTCAGTTCCTCTTTCTCAAAGTCTGAGTTAGTCTAGAATTGTTTTCAGAAAGTGGTAAAACAATCCAATTTTACTGGTGGTTTTGACAGGTTTGACAAGTTAATGAAAAACAATCATTATCGTTTTGTTTCCATGGAAACACAAGTCTATCATGTTTATTAACAGGTCACTGGTTTCAACGTGTTTAGCTCAGTCGCTTTCTTGGAGCCCACGAAATTAACCTCGTTGTCGCGTTGCACGCTCCCACACAGTGATTGGCCGACATTTTATTGCATCAGCTTTAGGCGGAGCCGTTTTCCAAGGCGTGGCAAAGACTACAGGAGTCATCACTTGCTTAATCTATAGACTGGGAAAATCAGTTGCTAGAGGAGTACGGACGCTGAACATGACGAAGTATTTGAAAGGAAACGTTTTAACCGGAAAATCTTCTATGCCTTATGGACCGTGGACATTATTCATGTTTAGAGGTACAAAACTACAGGGCTAACGGTTGTCGGTCGTGGTGGATGATTTACAGGTAAATGAACATTAGACAGATCTACTTTGACCTAATAAAAACTGTATATTTATCGCGTATACTTTTCAACTACGCCTTACCTTAAGCTGGTTTTAAGTTGGAACACATGTCTTAATACAATGATTTAAGCATCTCAATCAAAGCCACCTTTTAAGCCTGCAAAACCGTTCTCTTTTAAAATGGGCGTTTAAGATCAATTTTTGATGATCAAAATAATGTAACGTTTTTAGCAGAGTGTGACAATCTATATTTAACGGTTTTAAAAGCTTGATTTTTTAGTTGGAACACATGTCTCAATTTAACGATTTTAGCATCTCAATCAAAGCCACCTTTTAAGCCTGCAAAACCGTTCTTTTTTAACATGGGCGTTTAAGATTAGTTTTTGATAATCAAAATAATTGAAGAAGAGTGTGTCAATCTATATTTAATGGTTTTAAAAGCTTTTCTTTTCTTAGTTTAAGAGCATGCACGGCTGGAGATAGAGAGGCCGCCTCTTCATTGTATCAACCCCCCTCTAAGGGAAAAAGCCCGACCGCGCTGTCCCCAGAAGACTTGGATAAAAGATTTAAGGAAAACAGCTTTTAGACGGCTTTAATGCCTGAGAGGAAAGCGTGTCGTTAGATATATCATATTGAGAGGTGCGTTCTCGTGTAATAGTGGAATAATCTTGATTTAAACCCCGATTAGAAACGTAACTTGGTCAAGAGCTCGGTTATTTGGCAATGTACATTGATTATTAGTGGGTATATAAGATATGGAATACACGGATCTTCACGGTAACATCCGTTATCTGCTTTTTTTTCCCACATGGCATACAAATAAAAATGGGACTCGGAAAGCATAGTTTTATAATGATAGACAAAAAAAATTAAGGAGTAGTGAAAATTAGTAATCTAACAGCATTTTGAAATTGTTCGCTTGTCGCCATTTTGAATATTTATGTTGTCATTTTGCTTGCCTCGCGCGTAAAAAAATGTATATTTGGGCGATCAATATTTCTTGTTTGATAAAATCTTTTTTCCAGCTGTTAGAAAAGTACTTTCTCTATTTATAAAGGTATTTAATAAAAATGTTTGTCTTTTTTTTCGTTAAGGTAACCAGACATTATAGAAGTGACATAACTGACCGCAAAAGACGAATGATGCAAAAACTGACCTGGGATTTTACAGCAACTGAAGACTTACACGACAAAATATCGTGAAACCATCGATTTAACTTTAAATGACTTGATCAAGTTGTTAGGCATACTTCTCCGAAGTAAACTTGACTGACTGATTTAGGGACAGACACTACCAGAAACTGGACATGCTGGAAATACCATCAGACAGTACTGACGAGACGCACTGTTTCGAAAAGGAAAATGGGAACGAGACAGATACGTATAATAATTGGAATCTATTGTTCACACCCTGCGCAAATTTGCGGGATTATTCACTATGATGTGCTAAACATGACTGTTTTTGTTGTACTTAGATCGTACGTTCTAAATTGGAATGTCTTGTACAATTGTTTGTTAGTTTGTGTCTCTGATGTCTTAAATGTGGGCTAGGTGTCGTGTGTAAGTGTTTCTTGGCTAAGAAAGTCATATATGTGTGTGGATCCTTTTCC